AATTTCAAAATAAAAAATAAAAAAATAAAAAATGAAATAACAAAAATTTATATGTGAAGAACAAACAGAGCACATATAAAATATAATATATATATATATATATATGTAATAAAATATACATACATATATAGCAGACACACTTTTGTATAGATTACTCGATAGAAAGACAGAATTTATTTTTCTTTCCTTTGTTGTCGCTTCTCTTTCTCTCTCTCAAATCTCTTTAATATTTTTCGATCATTCAATTGGAGCAACGACGAAACTCCATTTCTGCTCCCTATCGAGACTACTGAGTTTGAAATCCAGTCACAATTGTTGGGTCTGAAGCCGAATAGCGATCACAAACGTAAGTGCCTAGACATCGAAATGAAACCTAGTTATAATATTGGATTTTCTACATTAATCATAGCTTAGATCGGTGGGTTGGAAGGTTTCATCGATTTGTTTGCACTTTAAGTGAGTACGTAGAAGTTGAGAGATCTTAGACATCACAAAATAATATTGCAGATCTCTTTCATTATTAAAATTGGAAGATGGACCTTAGACTATTTTTCCCTAAAAATTATCAGCTTGTTTGGTTTTGGTTTTCAGAAAACACTTTTCAAAAAATTATATATTTTTATTTTTCGTATTTTTTTTCAATGAATTTTTTTTAATATTTTAAGAAAATTTTTAATTCTCAGACACAGTTAATATAAATATACTTAAAAAGTATAATATTTGTGAAAAAAGCTTTAAAAATTTTACTAAATACCAAAAAAAAAATGTATATATATATGAAAATTCAGTACATTTTTCGTATTTTTGTGTATTTATTTATTTTTTAAAATATTTTTTCACAAATATTTTACTATTGAGATACATCTAAGTAAGGTGCATCTAAAAAAGTAAAAAAAATTGCTTAAAATTTTAAAAATATTCACTAAAGAAAAAACACATGAAAAGTAAAAAACTCAATTTTCAGAAAAACTGAATTCAGAAAATTGAAACCAAACACACTTATTTTTCTTATTTTTTTGGAATACTAGGGTGAAGGGGCTAAATGTGAAATGGGTCGGGTTCAAGCCTTGGGCCGGCCCAATCTGCTGAAGTCCGAATCCGAGTGGGCTGGATGAGTATATAGGCAAACCAGTTGAGTCCAACTTCATGATCTACAGTCCACCCAAGTCCTCAAGAACTTGGGCCCAACACCGCATTGGAAAGGCTAGTCCAGTCGTGGTGCTGGGTTGGGCCGAGCTACGATACTGAATCTGTGGGTCGAATAGATAACAGGACGAGCCCATACAAAGATATCTGAAAGGACCAGCCCATCTCTATGAATGATCCTGTACAAGGCCGAGACGAGGCATAATGATGCCAAGCTGAGGCACATCGGTACCGGGCGGAGGAAACCTCATAGGGAAACGTGAAAGTTGTGAACGTGTGCATGTGCAAGTTGCCACCTCAACTGCTCCCCTACACCTAGAATCACGGAAGTTGTTGAACCAAAGGAATGTGGTTTGTTATCAGCATGACTACAATGAGTATATACATTAAATGGCAACTACCAGGTGGTCCCCTACCATAAGCAATGTTGAAAGGACACCTGGCAGCATCTAAGCCCCAGGAACCCACCTTGAGAAGCAAGCAAGGAACCAACATATATATATACAATATGAACTTTACATGGAAGGTAACAAAACAATTCCAAGCAAACTTACAAACTCTATTCGATATTCATTCCTTCTCCGATCACTAATTCCCACGCCGAAGGGGTTATCCGGCCAACCCCGGCTGGGCAGCTCTAACGGTGCTTCCTGTGGCAGGAGCCTTAGTCCCTGGATAGTCCAACCGAGTGCAGGGCCCCTATCCATTTCATCTAGTGCGGAATCTGGTATGCACAATTGGTGCGGTGAGCGTGGATCACTTCATCTCTGAGCTCTGTATTCAGTTCCGGCGATGGGGATTGAGGACGTTCCGCCTTCAGCACATACTCTGCAGACGGAGAAGACGAAGGACAAAGGTTTGGCACTCCCAGCAGTCCTGGAGGAACAAACTGGAAACAATAATCGAACCCCCGAATCCGTCGAGCATCGATTACCCTTCGCTGGGGGCTCTTCTCACCACTTTTTTTTGGAAAAGGATTATAGAGATCGAATCATAGACTCCATGGGGATGGAGATAAAGGAGCTGAAAGCCCAACTTAAGAGGGTGCTGGGTGATCCGACGGAAAAGAAGACAGAAGCAGAGCCTTCTCGTTTACGGCGGAGGAGCTCATCCAGAGAGCCACCAGTGAAGAAATTCCCCAGGAATGAGTCTGGGCAACAAAGCCAGCCTATCCCGGTACAGAGTGAGGCAGCAAGCAGTCACACCTGTGGGTCACGCCGAAAAAGGGCCAAAAGGCAGAAGACAGTTAGCCAACAGACTGACTACCCTCCTCAGGACCTTCGTACTTGGTTGATCGGCAATAGGCAGAACGAGCAACATCGAGATCATCTGTACCGTACTGTTCACCAGAGAGAACATCGAGCGCTGGACAGGCTCATCTCTTCACCGTTCTCCCCGGAGATTGACACCATGAGACCTCAAAAGAAATTCACCCCACCGAAGTTCACTCCATACGACGGGAAGTCTGACCCGGTGACACATATTAGCCATTATAGACAGATGATGTCCCTATGGAACTGAGATGAGGCACTGATATGTAAAGTCTTCCCATCCAGCTTGGGAGAAACGGGACTTCGATGGTTCGATCGTCTCCCTGCTGGATCGATCCATGGCTGGAAGCAACTCTCCGAAGAGTTCCTAGCCAGGTTCGTCTCCAACACTAAGATCCCAAAGGAGCCGGATACACTGTTCGGCCTCCGGAAGGAGCAGGAGGAAACGTTGCGCAATTATGCTAGGAGGTACTGGGAAGAGTACAATGACCTGGAAGAAAATGTGTGCAGCGAGTAGATGGCCGTTATGTCCTTCAAGCATGGTCTGTGCCCGGAAAGTAAGCTAAGACAATCACTTACCAAGCGCTCGGCCACAGCTTTGAAAGACTTGTGTGCCAGGATTGAGCAGTACGTTCGTCTCGAAGACGATCAGATCCCCATCGAGGTAGCGACAGCAGAACAAACAGCTCGACATAAGAAGAGAACAGATCGAGAAGAACATTGAGGGATTACAGTGAATGAGGTGGATAAGTCCAAATCCCACGAAGCCGTTGTGACTGTATTCAAAGAGCCAATCTATCGAGTTCTGGAAAAGATCAAGAGAGAGCTCTTCTTTATTTGGCCGCCGAAAATGTTGGGAGACCCAGATCGGCGCAATCAGAAGCTCAGATGCACCTACCATCAAGACAGGGGGCACATGACTCAAAACTGCAGGGCACTGAAGCAACACTTGGAAGACCTAGTGGCAACTGGACACCTAAGGGATTACATTGATCAGGATAAGGAAATGACCGAACTGGGGAACCCACCACCAGAAGCAAATATCAAGCATCCACCTCGGCTGATAATAAATGTGATCCACGGGACAGCGATTCAGGAATCTGAGGAGGCACTGAAGGAAGAGATTGCTAAGGCTGCGCAAATTTAGCGGGTCATGTCAGTGGAGCCTGCATCAAAAAAGGTATGTACAGTGCCTAAATCCCCCTTGTGCACAGTTTCATTTACTAGCAAAGATTTAGAAGGCATACAGTACCCACATATTGATGCATTAATTATAACTGTGGGAATTAGGAAACGATTTGACGTAAAATAAGTCCTAGTAGATCAGGGCAGTGCAGCAGACATACTGTATTATGATTTGTTCAGAAAGCTTGGTCTCTCCGAGCAGCACCTCACCCCAGCGGCAGCCCCGTCGGTCGGTTTCAATTCACAGCCAGAATGGCCGCTTGGCAGAATAATGTTGCCAGTCGTGGCGGGGGCAAAAACCCTCCAGATAGAGTTCTTGGTTATTAATACACCATCTCCTTACAGCGCCATACTTGGCCGTCCGTGGATTCATCGAATGGAAGCAGTCCCTTCAACTTACCACCAGCTTATCCGTTTCCCAACGGAACACGGAGTAGAGCAGATCTCAGGGGATCAAGTTGCGTCCAAACATTGCTTCGTGGCAGCATTAAAGGCAAAACAGCTCTGCAATCGAGTATAGACGGTGGAAGTGGCCGAATAGCCAGTCTTGGAAGATGTAAGGGGAACCCCAGAGGAAAAGATGGTAGAGGATTTGAAGAAAGTCTTGGTAAAAGAGGATGACCCAGAAAAGTACTTCCTTATCGGTACCTCGCTAGGCACTGATGAGAAACTTTAGCTGCTGAAACTGCTGAGGGAAAATATGGAGGTATTCGCGTGGTCAGCATATGATACTCTAGGGTTAGACCCAGAATTTGCTTGCCACAAGCTCAACATCAACCCATCAGCTCGGCCTATTGTGCAGAAAAGTCGGAGATCTTCAGTTGAGCACACCAAAGCAATAATTGCTGAAGTCGAAAAACTCCTGGCCCCGGGAGCAATCAGAGAAGTTAAGTACCCGCAATGGCTGTCTAACACAGTTATAGTCAAGAAGAAGAACGGAAAATGGAGAGTTTGTGTTGATTTCACTTGCTTGAACAAAGCCTGCCCTAAAGATAGCTTTCCGCTGCCTCACATTGATTAACTAGTAGACTTGACAACAAGGCATGAGCGCATGAGCTTTCTAGACACTTATAGCGGCTATCGTCAGATACCACTGTTCGGTCCGGATCAAGAAAAGACAGTGTTTATTACTCCAAGGAGAACTTACTGCTACAAAGTATGCCATTCGGTCTCAAGAACGCCAGGGCAACCTATCAGCGAATGATCACTCGGATGTTCAAGGACCAACTAGGAAAAACCATGGAAGCCTATATAAACGATATGGTAGTAAAAAGCAAGCTCGCTACAAATCACCTCATAGACTTGAGAGAAGTTTTTCGCATCCTAAAAAACCACTAGCTTCACCTCAATGCCTCGAAATGCACTTTCGGGGTAGGAACATGGAAGTTCTTGGGATACATGGTCACTCACAGAGGGATCGAAGCGAATCCGGATCAAATCAGAGCAATACAGGATCTTGAAGTACCAACAAAGGCTAAAGAGTTGCAGAAACTTGCCGGAATGGCAGCCACACTGAATCGGTTTATTAGCAAATCCTCAAATCGGATGAAGCCCTTCTTTCAGCTTTTAAGGAAAAAGGCAACATTTGAATGGAGTAGCGAATGTACCGAAGCACTGCGAAGTCTCAAAATATACCTCAACACACCTCCTCTACTGTCCACTCCAGAGCCGGGAGAAGAGCTGTACCTCTATCTAGCAGTCTCAGATCATGCCATGACCGCAGTATTAATTCAAGAGGTTAACAAGGAACAGAGGCTTGTATATTATGTTAGCAAGACTTTATTAGATGCTGAGACACGGTATCTACCGTTGGAAAAATTAGCATACACGCTGCTTATCGCTTCAAGAAAGCTGCAACATTACTTCCAGGGGCATACTATAAACGTCCTCACTAAATTCCCCTTCAGATCTGTGTTCAGCCGAGCCGATTTCTCTGGCCGAACAGCAAAATGGGCAGTAGAACTTGGTGAGTTTGACATTCGGTATCAACCTAGGACAGCGATCAAGGCCTAGGTCTTAGCGAATTTTGACGCAGAATTTGCTCCCACCCAGAGCACCAAACCGGGGGATCCGCGTTCAGCACTGGTGCCATACACTACCGAACAAGGAAAATCCTGCGCTTTGGAAGCTTGGAAACTCTTTATTGGAAACATCTGGCAGCTCTATGTTGATGGATCGTCTAATAACTGAGGCTCGGGGGCAGGAGTAGTACATATTTCACCAGAAGGGTTTATCTGGGAACAGGCTCTCAGACTCGGTTGGAAGGCTTCAAACAACGAGGCCGAGTACGAAGTGTTATTGGCTTGCTTACGTAGCGCCGAACACTTCAGTGCAAAACAACTTCTTGTTTTCAGCGATTCACAACTAGTGGTCAACCAGCTTTCTGGGGTTTATGAAACACGAGATGAAAGAATGGCTATGTACGCAGGAAAAGCCAAGGACCTGCTCAGAAAATTTCAATCCATACGAGTGGAACGAATCAGTTGGGGCAAAAACAGCCACGCTGATGCTCTGGCATGCCTAGGTTCATCAGTGGATACAAAGGATGCCCGAAAAGTTTGGGTTGAGTTTGTACCAGAACCGAGTATTGCGTCTCCAGTCCTCTGCAACAACTTAGAGCCGAGCTGGATGGATCTGATATTTGCTTTTCTGAAATTTGGTACACTCCCTGAAGACAAAAGGGAAGCCAACAAGGTCAGACATAAGTCAGCTCGATTCTGGATCTCACCATCTGGGAAGCTATACAGACGCTCCTACCTTGGCCCCTACCTCTTATGTGTGCATCCAAATCTCGTCAAGAATGTTCTCTACGAAATTCACGATGGGATTTGTGGATGCCACGTTGGCGGAAGGTCACTGGCACACCGAGCCCTCACTCACGGGTACTGGTGGCCACGGATGCAACAAGATGCGCAGTAGTATGTACAGAAGTGCGACAAATGTCAGAAGTTTGCTCCACTCATTCATCAACCAGCCAAAACTCTCACTTTACTCACCAGCCTATGGCCCTTTGCCCAATGTGGTCTGGATATTATCGAACCATTGGCGCGAGGCATTGGGAACAAGCAATTCTTCATTACCGTAACCGACTATTTCACTAAGTGGGTTGAAGTTGAGGCGCTGGCAAGTATCAAAGAAGCGGACACGAAGCGGTTTGTTTTGAGGAGTGTTGTGGTCCGTTTCGGCATTCTGCGGGTACTAATTGTGGATAATGGAACACAATTCGATGGTAAGGTCTTCAGAAAGTTTTGTGCCGACCTCAGAATTGAGTATAGGAACTCTTCTCCAGGATACCCATAGAGCAATGGGCAGGCAGAAGCAACAAACAAAACCATCATCAACGGAGTGAAGAAGCGGCTTGAACATGCAAAAGGCAAATGGGTTGAAGAGTTACCTCACGTATTATGGGCCTACCGAACTACAGCACGACGCCCCACAGGAGAAACACCTTACTCTTTAACCTATGGAATGGAGGCCATCATCCCACTCGAAGTAGGTCTCCTAACCCTTCGGTCTGAATTATTTGAAAGCTCCAGTAACGAGGAAGCTATTGCGCAAGCACTGGATATGGCAGAGGGCCGAAGAGAGGCAGCGCTGATCAGACTTGAAGCGTATCAGCAGCAGCTCATCAGAAATTTCAACCAAAAAGTTTTCCCAAGGCAATTTACACCAGGAGAATTGGTTTTGAGGAAAGTTATAGATCACAAAAGGGTGTCTGGCGAGGGCAAACTTGGGCCTAACTGGGAAGGTCCCTATAAAGTCACAATTATTGTTAAAAATAGAGCTTACTACCTAGAGGATCTGAATGGCAAAGCTATACCTCAACCTTGGAACGTAGCAAACCTCAAGAAATATTATCAATAGAATTATCTCCAACTTCTCTATCAGAATGTAAAGGCATTTATCTGTTGACCAATGCAAATGTTTCCCCACTTCTCTCAAATTTATCAAATTATTGTAATTAGCTTTGATGTTTATCAAATGGAATTAGTTTTGGTTCTCACCAAACGGAATTAGCTTTGGTTCTCACCAAACGAAATTAGCTTTGGTACTTACCAAACGGAATCAGCTTTGGCCTTAACCCAAACGGACTTAGTTTCAGAACGACTGAACGGAATTTAGATTTGGTTAGTACTCAAACATGCTAAGTGATATTGCTTGGTGGAATTATGTTTGGCAACTAAATTGGACTTTAGCCAAGTGAAATTGCTTGGTGGAAACCGCACTAACATATTTTAAGTAAACATCTCTATTTAGCCAAGTGGAATTGCTTGGTGGAAACCACACTAATGTATCTTAAGTACACATCTCTATTTAGCCAAGTGAAATTTCTTGGTGGAAACCACACTGACATATCTTAAGTAAACACCTTTGCATCTATAGAACTTCTTAAGTATCAACACGTCAACACGTCAGTACTAATGCGAACAAACAAAGTTGGAACAAACTTGGCCAAGTTCAGCCAGGAGCAGGCCTCCAGCAGTAGTCTTACTCAACTCCAGCTGGGGGCAAACAATTGTTTTTTCAAACCAAGCTTGACCTGAGTAAGACGCCTTTTCATGCCTTCATCGCATTCAAATACACCTAGCTCCAGGTGGGGGCAAACAATTGTTTTCTTTCAGAACCAACTTGGACCTAAGTAAGACCCACTTACGAACTCAAGCACTGCCATACCACATCTTCGTTAGCCACACCAAGCACAAGTTCAGCCCCGAGGTCCCAACAGTGCTCGGTCGGGGGCAAACAGTACAGTTCCACACCGAGAATCAGTTCGGCCCCGAGGCCCCAACAATGTTCGGCCGGGGGCAAGCAGTACAGAATCAGACAGAACATCCATTTAAAGGCAATACAGAACCACACTGAGCATCTATTCGGCCTCGAGGTCCCAACAGTGCTCGGCTGGGGGCAGGCAGTACAGAAATCATTCAAACATAGAAGCCAAACAGCATCAGATTGCAAGTTCAAAAAGAAAATTCTATCATCCAACAAAAGGCACAGATGGCCTCATAACCAGCAGCAAAGAAAAGAAAAGAGAAAAGAAAAATTGTCTTGACAAGTGCAGAAAGAAAGCTTGTCATGGAGACCGAGCCACAGTGCATCAAAGCAAAAAAGTTCAAATCCTTTCAACATCAATTTTCATCAACAGTGGGCAACTTAGGAGCAGCATCAACAATTTTGTCCAGGCCGTCTGCGGGAGGAAAAGTAGAGGAAGCTCCAACTTCCTGAGAAGTAAAAGCCTCCTTAACCACATCTCCTATGGCTTCAGTCTTTGGGGTTTCAATCCCTTCAACATCCACCATTTCAGCGGCAACATTCCTGTCCTGGGTCTTGCTTGTAGAATCATCTTCTGGAGAAACTTCGGCTAGAAGAATAGCAGGGGTGGAAACAGTCTTCGAACCCAAGGATCTCGAAAGAAAGAGGACATCCTGAAACAGGGAAGAGCCTTCATGAACCAGCGCAACAGTCAAGGCACTCGTCCAACCCTTCACGAAGAGCTTATCTCGCAGCACTAACACCTCTTCCTTATAGGCAGCCCCGGCTTCATCCGAACCCTGTTACTAGTGTTTGGCTTCCAGTGCAGAACGCTCGACAGCCATCACGGCAATAGCAGTCTCCAATTCGGCCACCTTCCCCTCAAGTTAAGCCTGCATCCCAATAGCAGCCTCCTTCGATTTTTCAGCCGAAGCGACAATCTTGTTCAAACGAAATGCTTCCCTCTCAGCGGTTCGGCGTCCTTCCTTCTCTGACTCCAAGTTTACCGTCAGTCTCTCCGCGTTCATTGCGGCCTCCAGCACGGCCCTTTCTAGCTCTTCAGCACGAGTAATGGACAGATGCATTCTCTAGATACACTGCAAAGGACAACGAAGAACTAAGAAAAAAGAAGACAGCAACGCAACAATAATGAAACACTTACAGCAGTCATCATCTGAAGGGTCCCCTTCAAGATAGGAATATCACGAGGCCCATTGTGGTCGGCCATATCAACCGGCATCAACAAAAACTTAGTCAAATCAAAGGCAAAATCTTGTGAAATGACAACTGAATCAGAAGTGGAAATGGGCCTGCCCTCATGCGATATTGGCGGCTCCCATTCTTCAAAAGCATCATCCTCAGCAGGATCCTCAGAAGCTCCCCCTACCACTGCTTTGCCAGCCTCTCTTCTTCTCTTTTTTGCTCACGCAGCGACTGAAGTTGAGGGCTCGGCAGCAATCACAGGGGTCCCAGAAGCTCCAACCTCCACCTTCACCTCCATGAGGCTCTTCACCTCGGTCTTTTCCAGAGGGGTTCGCAAAGCATTGGAGGCTCCGAAGGCCTCGGCCTTTAAATCCACCAACACCCTTCTCTTCGCCACAGACCCGCTCCCTGCGAAACTGGCAGCAGGGGAGGGCGTTCTCTCAGAAAGTGCACCCTGACTCCTGCGACGACTCGTGACTACAGGAGTGAGAGACGTGTCAGTCTCGGTATCAGAATCCAGAAGGGCAGCAACAAGCCTTGCCTTCTTTGGAATAACGAAATGGTAAGTAGACTGGTAGTCCAATAACTCGGGTGCAGACCTCTTTTTATACCTCAGGGCAACTTTTATGGTTTCAACATTCTCTCGGTTCGGTCTTCATTGGAAACGAGAGGCCTCTGCAAAAAAGAAGTGACCCATCAGAGCAATATTCAAAATAAAGTAAGAAACGCAAAAGGCATTAGAAGGAGAGGCCCGAACCTAGGTAGCCGTCTTTCCGGGGCATCCGCTCAGACTGAAACTCAGTACCGGCGGGGAACTCCTAGTTTCCACCAACTTGTAGGAAATCACCGTTGTGTTTATCCGAATCAGGTAACCTGGTAACCAAATGGCAATCAAACGAGCGAACACACAAGTAATATGTACTGTGGTCTTTGTTATGAGAAAGAGTATAACAACCTAAGATATCCCATATGTCAAGGTTGAAACCCAATCATCTGAGCAGAGCACCAACGAGACTGGTTCAAAGGAATGGGAAGAGTTCTTTCTCTCTCTTTGGAACTCACTAGAGGAACGAGAAAAGCAAATGAAGGGATTCGTATTATCAGCCAGAATATTAATTGCACCAGCCGGGGCGCAGGTACACGGAGCACGACCTTCGGTATGGAATCGATGCACTATCTCTGCACACCTATCACACGTCGCCACGTGTTACGTGAAAGGATGCATGCAGGAATTGTGTGTCAGGATTGAACCGTCACCAAGGCCGAACTGGTGGAGAACCGAAACGACGCGACGCTTGGAGAGCAGAACAATAGCTCCCCCCAAGGGGAACCTTAGCGCAAGCTAGGAGGCAAATGAAGAGGCTAAATGTGAAATGGGTCAGGTTCAAGCCTTGGGCCGGCCCAATCCGCTGAAGTCCGAATCCGAGTGGGCTGGATGAGTATATAGGCAAATCAGTTGAGCCCAACTTCATGATCTACAGTCCACCCAAGTCCTCAAGCACTTGGGCCCAACACCGCAGTGGAAAGGCTAGTCTAGCCATGGTGCTGGGCTGGGCCGAGCTACGATACTGAATCTGTGGGCCGAATAGATAACAGGACGAGTCCATACAAAGATATCCGAAAGGACCAGCCCATCTCTATGAATGATCCTATACAAGGCCGAGACAAGGCATAATGATGCTGAGCTGAGGCACATCGGTACCGAGCTGAGGAAACCTCACAGGGAAACGTGGAAGTTGTGAACATGTGCATGTGCAAGTTGCCACCTCAACTGCTCCCCTACACCTAGAATCACGGAAGTTGTTGAACCAAAGGAATGTGGTTTGTTATCAGCATGACTACAATGAGTATATACATTAAATGGCAACTACCAGGTGGTCCCTTACTATAAGCAATGCTAAAAGGACACCTGGCAGCATCTAAGCCCGAGGAACCCACCTTGAGAAACAAGCAAGGAACCAACA